TCAAGTTTTAAAAAATTAACATAATATTTTATTGACTTTTTGAGAATTTTATATATTCATATATTATATTTTGATCATATTCATCCCACACTCCTCCCCTAACTCCTCCCAGATCCACTCCCCATCAACCACCCCCTCCCAACTTCATGTTTTTTTTTTTTTAATAGCCCACTGGTTCCAATTTGTGCTGCTCATACACTTATAGGTGTGGACCATCCACTGGAATGTGGTTTACCTACCAAGGGACATTCCCTTAAAGAAAACTGACTCTCTATAGCATAAAAAATCATCAACTATCATAGGAATCTTCACAAGCTCCCTTGTAGGAAGAGATGCAGATCTAGCACACAAAGTCCTGCATTCAATCCCCAGAACCACAACAGAAAAATGATCCTTAGATCATTCTTATTCACTGTGAAGCTTAGAAAACATTGGGTTTAAGATATAGAGTGCTATGGTCACTCCATGGTAATCTTTCCAATAATACAAGCTTTTGCCTTCAAAATCTTTGGCGACGCTCAAAATGTAATCTTTCATTGCCTTGGAAGCAATTTAGTTAATATAATCATTCTAAAAATTAGATACCTTTCCATGCTTTCAGGTCAGCATTGTGGGTTCAGTTTCATTGCAGGTAACTAAAGAAGAAAAACGCAGGGAGTGGAGATTGCTGTTCTTGAAAGGCTGACTCAACACTATTTCAAACATGGGGTAAGCAACTTCTCTGTACCATAGTGCTACATACTACAGTGCAGAGCTGAGCTGAACTGAGCCTTATGAGTTCTTCCTTTCCTGTTAGGATGCCCCATCACAGAATGCCTCACACACTTAATGTCCACACAAGTTATGATTATAACAGTAATCTCTTCACATGGGTAATGACCGGGTTATGCCAGTCCGGTAACTGCTCACTTTCAGGGAACAATATTCCATTTTTGTGATTCTTTTCCTCTTCTCCACATGATGTTCGCTCTGATCATTCCTGTTGAAATGTAATTTGGGTCTGTTGAACCTAATTAAAATTGAGAAAATTGCCTTTTTACTTTGTTTTCCTTGGAATTCTTTTTTATTATTCAACCAGAAAGCGTGGTGACACATAATGATTAAAAACTGCTGCTGTATACCATTGTCCTCTAAACAAACTCAGACAAAACGCAGCACTGGTAGAGCATTTTCTCACCTGCAACAGAGTACAGGGTTGAATTAGACCGTCCGTGAGCACTTTCTGCTCAATGATTCTCTGTGGATCCGATGGGTATATTATTTATTCACTTTGCTGAGTTGTTCAAAACTTTTATATCTATACCCAGCTTCCTCTCCTACTGTGAGATTGTGCGGATTTATGGAATTAAGAGCATTTTAGTAATACCCTAGTCACTAAGAAAGGTAATTAGTTACCAAAAACATTATGTAATATATATCAAAACTAAAGAAGCTAATTTCTTACCACCTGCTTCTCCTCTCCACTAGCACAGACATAGTTCCTTTATCATGTAGCTGTTATCTGCAAACCCACTTCTCACATCTGCCAACCTCTCTCATCTTCTATTTCTCATTAGATGCACTACATTTTTCTTTTATGTTTTTAAAATATTTTATTTATTATTTTTATTTTATGCATATAAGTGTATTGCCTGCATGTATGTAAGTGTAACCCTGTCATGCAATGCCCACTCAGGCCAGAAGAGGGGTCTGAATCCCTGGAATTGGAGTTATAGGTGGTTGTAAGCTGCCACGTGGATGCTGGGAAATAAACCCGGGTCCTCTGCAAGAGTAGTCAGTGCTTTTAACTGCTGAGCCACCTCTCTAGTCCCTCTTTTATGTTTTTATGGGTGATCACACCATATCTCTGTAAGCTTGTACTACACACCAGATTTTAGAAATATTTTCCCAAAGAAACTTTATCTCAGTTTTTCCATGCTTTTTGTGCTAAGAAATTATTTTTTTAAGGAATGGAGGTTTGGGGATAGTATCATGCTTGCCAAGTGTGTAAGAGGTGCTGAGCTCCATAGCAGAACAGGGGGTAGAGAGGATACTAATATATCCCTCAATTCTCACCAGTGAAGCTTCCTCATACAACAGACTGCAATGCACACAGAAGGCCACAACTAAGTTTTGGAGAATACGAGACTGCAAAGTGCATGTCCCTGGATAAGACTCCCTATTAAACCTCACCCACCACAGTTTAGGGACCATTGTAGAAGAGGGGGAAGAAAGACTGTAAGAGCCAGAGTTAGTGCATGGACACAAAGAAACAGAGGCTTTCAAGCCACTGGGAACTTGCTCATATGAATTTGCAGCAATGGTGACAGCATGCACAAGATCCATGCCAACTCAGACAAAAACTCAGCACAGAATGAGGGAATTGGGGAGCAGGCCTCAACCCTAACCTAGGAACTACTGGCAACTGATTACTGCTGGGTGAGGGAGAGTAAATCTTCTTTTAAGATCTCTAGATAGGGTGACTAGACTCCAGTGGATGAGCTTGCACCAAAGGACATCCAGATACAAATGCTTGACCAGATAGGATTTAACATATATGACAGAATGCATGTTATCCAGTGGGGGGGGTGCCACTGTAGGGGGTTACGGATGGGGGAGGGGGTCTAAATTTGATTAAATTCTATTATATGAAATACACAAAAAATCAATAAAAATGTATTCAAAAAATAAAAAGATAAAAAGCAATCAACTCCCCCTCCCCCCAAAAAGGTGCTAAGTCCCAGCCCCAGAACCATAAAGAAAAAGAATTTTTTTCATTCCAGAGAAAGTGTAAACAACACAAATTTAAATAGCCATCTGGCTAACTAAACTCCAGTCTCTGGAAACTAGATGCCCTGTTCTAAAGGCTGTGTGTTTATACAAAATATTTAACAAAACATGTCTGACTTTAAGCTTAGACTAAGTAATGACATCACAATATGTATTACTGGGGTGTTTCCAAAATGCGCTGACCCACTGAAAGTTTCCAAGTGGCTTCTTTATGTGCTGTTAAAGACCATCTGGCTAGCTGTAGATAAACAAGTTTTAGCATATGGGCCATAGCACATACATAGCTCTGCTCCACCAGTGCAGAAAATTAAGAAAAGGTCGCTCTCTTGATATGAGTAAGTCACACAAAAAAGGTGGCACTGTGCAGTGGAGCCTGCTTTAAGGTGCACACCGAAGAGCTTAACTCTAGCTCCTTCTCTGTCACTCACTGGGCTGGTCACTCTATAACCACATTTCCTCATATGAAAGTTTTTTTTAAGTACCAAATCAACTTTGGCCCCTCCCTCCTGCCTGTCCTCTCCCTTCCTCCTTCTTTCTCTTCTTCCTCCTAATTAAGAAACTTCTATTATGTGCCTACCACACATATGTTCCCAACACGCTGTTATATAAAACTTTATATTGGTGATGAAAACAGCAATGAAGTTATGTATCAAGTAGACAATAGGGAGCAAGAAGAATATTAGAGACGGAGGGCGAGGGGGCATGTGTAAAAGTTCCGAGATGGGACAGTGCATTGTCTGTTTAAAATTATTCAAGGTTTGTAAACATTTATATCCATTCAATTAAGAACTCAGTCGATAATTAAAATGCTGAAAGGAAAATTCCTATCATTTCCAGATGGTAATTCAGACGATTATAATTGCACAAACTATTTGAGAAATAGCCTGTGTTTTTAACTCATATTATTGAGCTAATGTCCACAATCAATCTAATAAAACTATATGAAAATATGATTATTGAATACATATACAGGCATCTCAAGCACAAGACTCCACAGTAAGTGCTTAGAGAATTATGATACAGCTTCCAGCAAACTCAGGAATGCTGTAAGTGCCACATGTTTAATAGTTACAGAATGAAGATAAATACTGAGGCAACAGTGATTCCATGACTCTTACAAGTATTTCACTTCCCAAGCATTGCTTCCCAATCCTCAGCCCAGTCAGAAGATGACAGCTGATCCCAGGCTGAGAAAGGCTATTAGTCACCATACTCATTCTTACTAAGGACAGTCATAAACTATATAGAAAATGTTTATCTCAATAATTTCACTCAATTCTTAGTTTTAAAAAAGCTGTGCCTGTGGTGTGGAGGCCAAACTTGTGTGTGGCAAGCAGGGGGTGGGGGAAGATGTGCCTTTTGCAGAGATAAATTATATCATACATGAAGTAGTATTAGTTACTGAACATTTTTCTCCTTCCCTTCCAGTTGCTAGCTCTTCCATTCATTTGCCTCCATACATCTAAAGTACAATGCACACACAGGGCCCAGGCCCTGCAGCCAGGGCAAGGCAGAGCACTCAGCACTCAGGCATTCAAGTCAGGCAGGATAAAGAGTTGATTTGAATAATGAAAGTTCAACAAACATCTGAATATCTAAACTGATCAGGAGAGAAACACATCATTCACAGCAACCTGACACAGCGCTCCATTCTTCAGAGACCATCTCAAATATGGCTGTCTCCTACCTGATGGCAAAAGCTTTAAAAGTAAGCGCTAGGTCATGCCCATCTTTGCCCTCCCAACACCAATCTTGCCACTAATAGGAGCCCAATAAATGGTCATTAATCAAGAAACAAACACTCACTAATTTAAAAATAAAAAGTTACTAAACATATGAATTCCCCTGTTGAAATGTAATTTAGTACAAAACTGTTACTTGTTAGGACTTTTTTTTTTTCAAGACAGAGTATAGAGATGTAGCCCAAGCTGTCTTCAAACTGAAGATCCTCCTGCCTCTGCCTCCGGAGTGTTAGGATTACAGGTGTGCGTCAGCATTCCCAGCCACCTGTTAGGACTGTAGCGAGCTCATAGAGTTTACCCTCCTGCCATCCTTTGTAAAGCAACACGTGTGACATCAGACCTTTTATTAAAAACCATTACTTAACTTTCTTTATTACAGCTACAAATAAACTTTATTTGATGTAATATAATAAAACATTTTCAAATTTAACAACATGTATCTGACCATAATTAATCACTTAAATTATGAATATAAGTATATACGGTCACTTTAGCAAATCTGCGGCTCAGGAATTTGTACAAGCTTTGTCTGAAAGGACAGGGCTCATCTCCCCTTGACAGGAAAGGGGCCCTTCCCTGTGTTTGATAATAAACAATGTCACTGACAGTTGGAAGAAGTCCATAATCCATGCTGGAACTCCACATTATCCTGCGAGAGGACAGCCTCCTTTATTGTACGAAAATAATATTCTCTTTCAGTTCTTTTTTTGTCAAATGAAGCTTTGCCTTGTTTTCCCCTGACAATCATGGGTACTCTTCTTTTCTGAGCTACAATCTTTCCATCGCCTTAGCCCTGGTCTAATACAGAGTACCATTTTTTAAAAAAAAATAACTATCCACAAAGGAACCCTTTCTGTTTCCTTACTGCCCTTAACACTGACCGTTTTTTACTGGGGGGAGAAGCTTTAGAGGACAGAATTCATCAGGCACACATTTGATTTAAGATACAGAGAACATGGAGACAAATTCTCTACATGAAACAGAATAGTGTTCTGGAGTATTCACAACAGTGGTCCTGGTGACCTCCAATTCACAGTCTGGTTGAATGAACATGCTTACGTTGTCTCCAAAAGCACCACAACCACTCATGGAAACACTGTCATTGCCACACTCCTCCCTCATAAGTCAGTCATGGACAAGCCCCAGAGCTCACTGCACCTTATATCAAGTGAGAGGAAACAACAGGCCAATAGTCATGTGAATATACAGTGCAGTTAGGTGGCACTCACAGTTACAATCTAGTTACAATTCTCACAGAAGAAATCCTCCTCCCTCTCAGGAGCCCTCGGAAGTATGAGTGCAAGAAAAAGCTTTATTTGATTTTTCTGCCTCTCTCCATCCTGAGATCAGTTCCTGAGTTATACCGTAACAATTATGGGTGTAACGGAGAAAGTACACTGGTAGGAAGTCACAGGGACCCTGGGGAAAAGCCAAACTATTGGACAGAAGCTTTGAACAAACACTGCTCTGGAAAATCATTTTTAGCTGATGACTGGGTTCTGTTTTTTAACATGGACATGCAACACATTCGACACTATGCTTACCACAGTTTGCTTGGAAAGACACCCTTCTGCCATACCACAAAATATATTCTGTCTCATGAATGACTCTTGAATGTTCACCACAATGTCTAGACTTGGAAGCATGGGACATGTGTGTTGGAACTTTCTCCCACTCACATGGATGTGGACTTGTGTAAAGCACCAGAAACTGCTTCCCTCCCAGAACCCAGCTCTGTTAGTGTGCTTACCACTGAGATGATCTGCCTGACACTGAGAACTATTTTCATTTGCACGCAATGGCACTGATCCACAGTAAAAAAGAAATAAAGGAGAGGTCACCATCTCCCCCATAATAGACTTTGTACAACAGACCACCCTCTGTTACATTTCAGCTATGTCAAGAAGACGTTCCGTTTTGCAGTCTCAGCAAATGATTTCGTTCGGTTTCCACCTGCTCTGTGTTATTTCATCTCCATGATTTTGCTCTGGATCATGAATCATGACCTTTCTTTCTACAGTAGTCAGAGCTTTGTCTATAAAAGAGAGAAAGACAAGAAAATTAGCTGAACAGTAATTGTGAGTTTTCATTTTGTAGTGGGTGGATTTAAGGTTTTTTTGTTTTTGTTTTTGTTATATGTCCATGCTTTTAATAGCAGTCAGTAATTTGAATCTATGGTGATTTGTTAGGATTTATGAGCATTTCCAAAGGGGACAAAAGTAATGAGCCTCTTTCCATAAATTTTAAAAGTTCTATAAGTTGCCAAGCCTGTAATATATTTGCAAATGAACCCCAAATAACCCATTTAGAAATCTCTTATAATGTAGTTATAGCCAAAAAAAAATGGCTTCGCCTGAAAAATCCTTAAAATCTTTTACAGAATACTGTAACATTTGGCCAACTTAAAAATAGTAATGGCTAAAAGAATAATGACAATATGAACGTGTGGGGGCAATTCTGGGGGTGGGATGGTTTAAGTATGAATGGGGTAGGGGAGAGAAAAGGGTGAGGGAAAGGAAGGGAAGAAGGGGGGAGTCACTAAACAAATAAGAAAACTACTTTGTAAGCTAATTTAAAAGAGTTTGAAGGAAGATACCTTGCATGGGTGAGTACTGCTGCTCCCAGAAGCCCTAAGTTATTAAAGGAAAAGTCCAGTGTGGGGTTTAGGATACATCCCTATGGGATTTTGGTCAAGGAGGTCCCAGAGGCCCTCCAGAACTATATGATAAGACCCTATTACTGAAAGATACCACATCAAGCTGGATCTGACCTGGAAACATTCTCCCTCTGGCTAGCCTTCAGAGCACTGGAAGATGCTACGCAGGTTGCTGGTGGAGAACAGTCATCAATGGTCTTACTCAGTTATGAAGCCCGTATGCTAAAAATAATGACCTACCAACAAGATATGCCCACTGGCGCAGTAGTGGCATGACATACAGGGTAATCAATCACATTCTGACTGGATTTAAGGCCTGCTGTACAGGAGGGAATTTATGCCTAGTACTACAAACTTGATCAAAAGCTCATGCCCAGGGAGGTGGTCTTAGGCCCTAGAAGGAATCTACTACTATTATTTTCCTAAAAAGACATGGTGTCAAACTGCCTTCAAAATATTTATGTTTACACCCATAGATTAGTGCTGCTTTCAACCTGGGTCAGAGAAGCTTCTAAACAGAAGTAGGTGATGGTTGATGTAGAGACTCATAACTGGTCAAAGCACTGAGAGTAAGTGACTACTGAATGTTCAGCCCTAAATGGAACATCTGTATCACTCCCTCCAAGGCTCCAGTGGCAGAAGAGGAGATAGAAAGAATGTAAGAAAGGAAAAATAGGAAAGAGAGCTATGAAACACATGTCTTTTGGACATGACATGGTTATCACATACATGAACTTACAGAAGCAGTGATTACATACACAAGCCCTGTACAAGACTGGTCCCATCAACATTCCATCAGGGATGGGCGAGGAGTTCATGAGGCCCCAACTCCACTGTAAGGAGGTATAGGCAATTTGGTTCCTGAGGGGGTGGAAATCATATCCTTCAATTGTATAGTAGTCACTGGTAAGTTGCCCCTTCTCAGGTAAATAACTTTTACCCATGCTCAAGCATGCAACTCAAATGCAGTAAGTCACACACACACACACACACACACACACACACACACACACGGCGGGGGGGTGGAGGAGGAGGGAGGCTAGGGAAGAAGAAGGGATTTAACAGAGGGGAATAGGGGTAAGAAAGAATAATGGGGGATATGATCAAGGTACATTATAAATATATATATATATAACTGAGAAACATCATCTACTTCAAATCTGGAAAGATGAGGCCACCTAAATGACCTGTGCAGAAACCAGAATCCTGTCTCCTCAAGGCTTCCCTCCCAGACTCACAGAAGTGGCCTGAGCCATAAAGAAGTGACAGCCAACAGATGAGAAAGCATTCATTCTAAGGTAGAGCCACTCTCCCACAATGCCATAGTTTTATAGGCCTTGACTTATCACACCAGCCCTGTATTTAGGAGCTGGGCTAGGAGGTCACAGACCCAGACCCATCTCTGCCTGTGTGCTTTTCTTAAAGTGACCTTATATCCAACTCCCTCTCTCTCTGAAACTCCCCTCTCAGTCCAGTCCTTCAGAAGGTGGTGCAATGTCAACACTGTCTTGCTTAGTAGAGCTGTTTCCCCACAAAACATGATCTCTGGCTTTGCCCTCAACCTCACACAATGGTTCCAAGGACAAATGTCGCATTTCAGCCAGTCATAGCTCACAGCCTACTTGGAATAGGGACTGGAAAAGAGCTGCGCTCCCAATCAATGACACTCCAGAGTCACTTCTAGTCTGGGAGCTTTGCCTCTTCTCAGCTAGCAAAGGTTCCACACCCAGCTTCCTCTGCAGCTCCACTCTTCTCCCATCAGTTCCTAAATGCTACTGAATTCCTCCAGCCCTCAGGCCAGCACCATCTCCAAAGTCAATCTGTCCTCATTATCTACCTGCCAGCCATGGTGATGATTAAGGATTGTAGCTCCCAGACTGCTCAGACACCACTGGTCTTTCACCTAATGCCAATGCCACCCTCCTAGTGCATCCACCCCAGGTAGGAGACCTCACGCTTACATTAGCTTCCTAATGCACCACCCTTATCCTGTTGGAAGCATCATGCCCACCACAGCCTAGTGTCATTCCTGTCAAAATCCCACCTGGTCCCCTAGGCTAACCCCAATCTACCCAACTTAATGGTATGGCTGAAGACATGTGCCAGGCCCCTTATGTACCTCCACCCACCATCTGTGTTCATGTGTTGTCCTTCTGCTTTGAGCAATCCCTGCTCCTATGTTCCCTATTATCTCTTCTTAGCAAAATCCTACCCTTCAAAACCCACACTAATATCATCCCCTTCAAGATTTCCACCATGTAAATTATCTAAGAATACCCAAAGCTCTATTTTTCTTATGTACCCTTCTCTGTTGTTTGTGCTATCTGTATTTATTACCAAGTATGAAAGCAAAAAGAAACTAGAGTACAGGAGGGTAAGGCAGAGGACAGAGCTCGGTGAAGAGTGTGTAACAGGTGTGAGCTCCTGACTTTGATCCCCAGCATGCCACACAACAAAGAAGGCAACCACTTGTCCTTCCAACCTCAGATGTTTCAAAGTTAAACTGCAGGAAACTATAAAACACAGGGCAAAGAAGCTATTGTTGTTACTAGCTGGTGATTTAATAAAAAAAAAATCAAAGTGCTGAACTTTCAGGTAATTAAAGATGAAGAAAATGTCACTCTGAGGGATTTTTAAATGTCTGTGGAGTAGCAAACTCTTTGCTTGCTTCTACCATTAAAACAGTAATCCATCATAGATACCCAGGGTTTCGGGGCCCTTGATGTTTCTCCCCAATTTCCCCAGGGATGTTCATCACTTTATTTCTTTAAAAATCACTGCTTTCCACAAAGGAAGCATACAATCACATTGAATTCCAAAGCTTCAGCATAAACTCCAGAGCAGCGTACTGATAGAATTCATGGCAGAAACCCAAGGTTATTCTGCAATGAGTCACTGCTAAGAACCACTGCAACTGACAGGGACTATAAGAAGCTTTTGAACAGAAAGACAAAACAGTCACCAAGGAGGAAAGGGGAGAGGGAAATGAGCTACTTCAAAACAAGTCCATGACATTTTTTTATACCAAAGTATTTTAGAAATTGCCTTTCAGTGCTGTTCATAAACGGTGTCAAAGAACAAGTCCCCATGACTTGATACTTAAAAGCAATTTATGACAAGTCAAATCCATGAGTAAAATCATTCAATTAAAAAGGAAAAAAGAGCCGGGCGTGATGGCACATGCCTTTAATCCCAGCACTCGGGAGGCAGAGGCAGGCGGCTCTCTGTGAGTTCGAGGCCAGCCTGGTCTCCATAGCGAATCCAGGCCAGCTGCGGCTACAAGGAGACCCTGTCTCAAAAAGACCAACAACAACAAAAAAAATCCTTGCTTGTATCACATTATCACATTTGGGTCTGTATTATATGTATTTTAATTCTTGTGAAAAGGTGAAAGGATTAAAATTGATAGTAGTGAATTAAAATTACCAGTGCAAAAGTATTCACAGCTTTTTTCCCTGTATTCACTCCGTTACCCCAAGGAAAATTCTCGAATGCCTGCTGGACTCCTGAGGCTCTGGTTATGCTGATTAAGAAAATGGGAAGAAATGGGTAAATATTTGGAAGTAACAATACACAGTCTAGATTGCGCACACAGGAAAGGAAGAAAACTATGGTGAGGGAGGAAAAATGGAACCAAGACGACAGAGGGTGAAACAATGTGATAGAAACCAGAACCCAAGCAGCCAGATGGGAAGGAAAGGGGTGGAGAAATTACAGAATTTCCCAGAGTCCTTAGGGTGACCACCAGATGTGTGAGGAAACTTGGACAGGTAGGAAGATTCTAAGATTTTCCCTGAGCTGTGGTTTAGATGCCTTTTGCCATTCTTCCAGAGACCATGGAAGACTGGTTATATCATTCAGACTTGGTGGAGCATTACCTCAAACGTCACCCACCCTAACAGCATCAAAGAACAAGTCATCAAAATATGATACTTAAATGCGACATATAACAAATCAAATCTGTTAGTAGTTATCCAAATGATATTTCCTTGAATGCAACTGTGCAGTGTGAATCATGTTAGTTCTTACTCTGGTTGAAAGTGTCTTTTATGATCAAGCACTGTCACCTCAACAGCTACCTCAGCCTGCTGGAGTATAAGCCTCCAGAGGTAAGGACTGTTATATATTTCTCTTTCTACCCCTGCTGTGCCTGGTGCCATATTCCATACATAGTAGACCCTCAAATGCTTCTGGAAATGCCAATCTCTATATCCAATCTCTATATCTCTTGCTTCTGATTCATCTCATGGTGTCACTGAACCATTCTTCCCTACTTTGACGGCTGCATCCATTAGCTACACTGATTTGTAGATGACCTACTATCATCTACATCAGAATTTCCCAACCTCTTAACTTATAGGTTGGGTAAACCTTTATTGTGGGAGGCCAATCTGTCCACTGTAGGATATTTGGCACTTTCCCTGACCTATACCTAGTAGATATCTGTTAACACCCCAACACACACCAGTTATGACAACTTAAAAATATCTCCAGATGTTGTCAAATGTCTCCAGGGAAGGAGGCAAAATTACTCTGAATTACAAATCCATTGCCTACCCTAAAAGTCCAAATTCTTGGATTAGTATAGTCATTCATAATTTTTCTCAGTCTTCTTTTCTACTCTGATCTTCAAGTGTTTTCTCACTCCGGTCTGCCCTTTGCATAAGCTCCTATGCTGTTTCTTCTATGTAAAATAACCCCTTTACCTGGAATAGCCCTTCTGGGTGCCTTTGACGACTTTCATATACGGATCTTTTGGGGAGTCTTAATCTGATCAGCATTAGTGTAAGGTAAACGTTATTTTCTTCTCCTTTGAATACCATAGTATCTCTGCCTCCACCATTCATTATTGCAAGAAAATAAGCTCAGTATATCTATCTATATATAGATAGATAGATGATAGATAGATAGATAGATAGATAGATAGATAGATATCTTGATCTGTTCAGGATACTATAATAAAATATCATAAATTTGATACTTTATAAATAAAATAAATTTACTTCTAGAGACTAAAAAGTTTACAGTCAATGTTCCATCAAACTTGGTATCTGGTGAGGCTCTCTATCTTCTTCAAAAACTAGTCCCCTCCGATCTGTTTTGTAAGGGCATTAATACCAATTCATTGGAGCTCTGTCCTCTTGGCCCAATGACCTCCTAGAGGCTCAACCTTTTAGTGTTATTGCATTGGAGACTGTATTTCAGCATTTGAATTTGGGGGGAACACAGACCTTCATATTATAAAAGCAGACACATATTTCTATACTTCCGTGTGTATACATTTTTGTATAGAAATACATAGACAAGAATAAAGGTCATATATTTTTGTATCCATCTTAGTGTATGTCAGTCATACAGAAAGTAACATTGATGTTTACTATAAAACTTCCTGGTATAATTTTATAAATGGCAGCTATACAAACTCCATACAAGCACTCCAATATTTTTAGGCCAATAAGCTTAAGTGATTTGCATATCCTATGTAGTTATAAATTCAAACTAAGAGAGATATAATTAGGGATAGTAATTCTCTCTTAAACCAAGGGACAACAGACTATTATCTATGGGCCAGATCCAGATGACCATCTCTTCTGCACAGAAAGTTTTGTTGGGGACACTGGAAAGACGGCTCAGGGGTTAAGAGCACTAGCTGCTCTTGCAGAGGATTCAAGTTCAGGTCCCAGCACCCATATGGTAGCTAACAACCATCCATAACTCCAGGTCCAGGGGATTCGATGCCTTCTGTGGGCATTGTATGACACAGGTACATTTACATACATGCAGGTAATACACTCATATACATAAATAATAAATAAAATATTTTTTAAATAATAAAGTTTTGTTGGTACACATCCAATCCATTTGTTTACTTAACTGGATGACAAAGGCAGAGGTGAGTCATTTCAATAGAACCACATGGCTAAAAAAGCTTAAACTATTACTGTTTGGTCCTCTACCATAAAAGTTTGCTGACCCTTGTCTTAGACTAGCAGGAAAACAACATCCAAGCTTCCATACTAGCTAAAGGTATGAAGGCAAATATCCTTGTGCTTTATTTGAGCTGATTTATTTTTATGAAGGGTATAGTAGCATAGAACTAAAAGCACTTTTGAGCACAGACTTTCTGGGCTGGAATCCAACTCAACTGAATGATTGTGAGGAAATGATTTTATCCTCCAAGCTCTTGTTTTGTAGTCTTCAGAACAGAGGTGAAGAATTTTAGGCAATCATAAAGTTTTGAAGACTACATGATATAATTCCCAGAGAGCTCTCAGCATAGGGCTGAGAATGAATCCTCAGTAAATGTGGGCTATTACTATTTTAAACTATAAAATCTGCTTGTGTCACACTTTTAAAATTATGATTGTGTTACCTGAATTGTCTGGGAATTGTTAGCTAAAATAATGAACAAAATTATTCTCAAGTTCTCAGAGACCTGTAAGCACAGAGGCGTTTAGGACATCATCTACTCTCTCCTAGTTCACACGCTGGCTGCTTAACTGGACCTCCAACTACCAGCCTTGCACTTTTGTCTGCTCTTCCCACTATTTCCAAGACTTTCCTCAAACACATTCCTCACTGTGTGATTACTAAGAACTGAAACTGACATGCTTTCCCTTTCCCATGATATACAATCCTGATATCAGGAAAACCACCTAGTTACTTGTCCCAAGAAGTAGCCATTTCCAGGGGATAAGACCATGCGCTGACTAAAACAGGTTACCTTTCAAGACTAATAATTTGCTCGTTAATACTTCCTTCAAATGCCTCCCTATACTCACTAATGCAAAGCTAATATATCAAGAAATCTGCATAGTTGTCACCAGTCTCCACCTTAAGACCACCCAATCCAAGTCCTAAAACTCCATGAATGACCTTGCCTTATTTCCTCTTTCTGAGGAATATCATAGTGCAGCAAGTCCCCACTTAGAGTAAGAAAGTGATTCCAGTTGTCTTCTTACACAACTGATGTCCACTGTTCCCATCTCAAAAGCATTCAGTAGCTCTTCACTATCTCCAGACTAAAATCATCTGAAAAGTAGCATTATATAGCATTTAGGAGAACAGGCATCAAGTGATTAATCTATAATCATAGGTCAATTATTCTACGCTCCTTGAGCCTTAAATTAATCTGAAAACTGAGTATCAGATAGTATGGTGTGGACCATGTAGGAGCTGTTCAATAAATGTCAGGCACTGGACTAGATTATACAAAAGGAAATCTAAGACTTAGCTCCTTGCCTAAGAATTTTAGAATGTAGTGGGCAAATACTAGCAGCAAATTCAGTACTCTTGTAGGTCTATCTAGAAAGGTCTTACAGGTTACTTATAATGAGTATTCTAGAATCTAATATCATGTTATTTTTAAATGCTATTTTTATACTAGGAACAATTTCGCATATACAAAAGATTATGTACAACATAAGTAGAAACATGTGTCCGTGAAGCTATACCCAGTTCAACAATTAGAATAGCTATAATCTAGCAACTTTCAGTTCTAAGACAAAAGCTCTCCAGTACACAGAAAACATGTGGTCCTAGGATTTAGGTTATGTGGGATCTAGACTTAGTTGTGATGTAAGTGATATAATGTCACTCTCCAAGTTTGTTACCTCTTCTGCCAATAAGTAGACCAGGGAAGTCAACAGGGAGGTTCCCTAGGAGCTGGAGTATCCCGCTTCTCTGCTCTGTTTCTTCCTATTCCCATTCCTCGGTGCTGAGGACAATCTCCTCCCTCACTAGCACCTTCTGTAATCTCACCTCCAGTTTCTTTTCTCCAAAATGTCAAATGTGAAGGTATCTGTTCTACCTAAACTTAAAGCAAAATGCATCATTTGACCTGCTGACCACTCTACCCTCTTGCCTTTCTTTGCACAATGCCAGGTTTGTTAATATGCAAGTTACTTGTCAAATTCCCAAGCCCTATTAGCCCTAGCTCTTTGTAGGAGGTTTTCAAATCTCAACATCCAGATCCAGTTGCTCTGTCGTAGATTGTAAGTTTTCCCAGACAAACTAAAAACTGTTCAACTCAAACACTACCAATTCTCAGCTACCAAGACAGGCAGCCCTTCCTGAAAACTCCTTAACTTTTCATGCCTCACTCCATCATACCATCTCCCATGTGAATGTAATCCTATACTGGAAAAATCACTTTTGCTTTTTTCCTCAAAAGAAGCTTCGGTCTGTAAAATATGAGGTCATCAAAAAAATGTTGCCCCATGGAAGTATAAAAGCAATTACATGATGATGGCATAGGAATTGAGACACACAGACATAATTTACATGTGATTTATGGAAAAAGAATGGAAAATATCACCTTCCATGTCATCAGTCATATGAATTGCAATTCATCAGCAAACCAGACTCCTCTTCCAATCCAACTACCTACCAATCGGGTTTTTGAAGCCTTAAAGTAGATGGATGAAAACTACTGCGAATTCAGATCTGACGCTTGGCAGAAAATAAGCTAGCCACCGATTTATGAAGTTTCCCCCACGATCATGTTGCATGAAAGCGGGGAGGGGAAATAAAAGGACAGTAGTGGTAAATGACCTTACAGCACAAACTCGGCTCTCTCCGGCCTCTCGGCAAGTTTCAGGGCCTCGTGCATGCCTGCGGCCGATAGCTTCCGGTTGATATTCCGGTATTGGCACTGGAGCAGGCTGCGGTAGGTGGTCCTCAGGTCCCGGTTGAAGAAGGCATATATAAAAGGGTTAATGAGAGAGTTCGCATAGCCCAGCCACAGACATGTCCTCTCCACCCACAGCGGGATGCAGCTGCAGGCTGTGCCGCAGATGAAGGGCCTGGCTGTCGAGAGGAGGAAAAACGGCAGCCAGCACACGGTGAAGGCCCCCACTATGATCCCCAGGGTGGTGGCTGCTTTCTGTTCCCTCTTAAAGATGGAGATGTTTTTCCTCTCGTGTTTGAGGAGTCTCGAAAGGTTTGCACACTCTTCCACCTCCTTCTGGAGCTTCACCACGCCGTTCAGGGAGATGACACTGTCGGGCTGCACGCGGGGGAAGCCCGGGAACTTGTGCTTGGCCGCGCTCTTCCTCGCAGCCTTGTAAATCTGATAGTACATGAACAGCATGACCGACATGGGGATGTAAAATGCCACTGCTGTGGAGTAGATGGTGTAGCCGAAATCCTGGCTGATCAAGCACACCTTGTCGTCGTTCACATTCTGGGCCCATCCAAAGAGCGGGGGTAAGGTGATGGAAGCGGACAGAAGCCAAACAGACAGAATCATTTTTGCCATGCATTTCCCATTCTGCCTCACCGGATACGTGAGGGGCCTGGTGATCCCAAGGTACCTGGAAGAGAGGTGGAGAGAGAAGTGAGTACAGATCATGGCTGGCCAGCTGGGGAATTTCTGTCAGCTGGGCACCAGTGCCAATCCTCACAACAGCCCAGTGGCACCCTCATCACCATTTTGCAAAAAAAAAAAAAAAAGCCCAGAAGTTTTGATATGTTACCTGTTTCATTCCAGGTCACACAGTCAGACAAAAGCACCACCAGGGTTTAGCCTGAGTGCCCTTTGGTAAAGTTAATCCCTGTTTACTCACAACCTTGCAGAGTCTGACAATCTACACATCCAAGGAGGTAAAGATGAAGTGTCTGCCCTCTCCCCATGACCACCATTAAATCAGCCAGCAATAAGATACAGCACTTGGTACAGGAAGTTGTGGCACATCTTCATAACTTAGCAAAGGTCTCTCAACAGTGAGATTATAATGCATTCAAACATTTGAACATCCCTTTGCAGGATAGCAAAAGTCAACTAAGATCACAGATTTGTAAAATATTTGAGGAATCTTAGGATTAGGAAATGGAAAGAAGAAGTGATTATCTTTTTATGCCCATAAAATTCCAACTGAACAGAACATTTTTTACAATAAAAGCAGTTTGCCTCATGCACTGGTTCTGAGAGGGATCACAAGAAATGGCACAATTCTGAGAAATATTAGGCAAGTTTTCTCTGTGCTTAGCTCTATAGAGATAATAAATATTTCTGCATCTCTGTTATCAAGGATTTACAATGCCAAAGAGGCTGGGCAGATACAAAACATATATGGTAAGATGTCTGACTAAAAGCTTACTATCTGTCAGCTTTTGAAATTTTCTATGTATTTAAATGATCCTGATAAAAGCTGGTCATTTGGGGCATGGTTGCTTTCTTTGTGTGAATAAATGATACAGTATTGACATATGGAAAGGTACAAGTGTCTCTAACTTGACAACAGCCCGTTTTTCTGAAAGCAGTCAGTTGGTAATTAAAAACTAAAAAAAAAAAATCTTAAAAGCACTCTTTAGGCTTAACCCACAAAAGGTTAAAATCATGCTTTTTCTATGAAAATTAGCATTACTGCAACTCTTACAAAACTGAAATATGGTAAAAATGAACAAGCCAGATTTGTTTAATCACCAAGAATGTCTCCTTCATTCCTTCAACAAATAGAGACTTTGCTGGGATTGGTTCTAATTGGTTCTAACCACAGATACCAAAGCTGTTCAAGTCCCTTACGCAAAATAACACATAATCTACACAAATCCTCCTGTCAACTTTAAGTCATATCTAGATGGTTTATAATGCCTAATATGATATAAAGACTATGTAAACAGTTGCCATAGTGTATCTCTTAGGGAATCCTGGCAAGAAGACAAAGGCTATCATATTCAGTACAGATACATCAGCCTAAGTACACAGCATGTGATCTACTAATGGAGAACTCACAGATACCAAAGCTGACCCTATTAATGGAGCTGTTTCTATGTGGCAGGCACTGTTCTAAACGTTGAGAATGTAGCAATAAATGAAAGAGACAAAATCTTGGAAAGCAGGCACAAAGTAAAACCCTGCAGGGTAGAAGAAAGAACTGCACCCTCAATGATTTGGAAGGGACTTCCAGTCCCTTCCAAGAACTCAGGTGTTCATTACACTGATTCTTTGTTCCACATGCTTTGCCTTTCCCTTTCTTGATAAGAATGACCCACAACAATGGGCTTATCTACTGAAGTTAGGATTATGTTTTGACTCCAAAAAGGGTAAAAAAGATAAGGAGGTTTTCCTAAGAAATAAAGAATAAATGCAGTGAGAGAGGAGGCTATTCACTTCAGGGGGTCAGAAACCAGAAGTGACAGGAGACTGGGTGTAACCTTCAAAGGCCTGGCCCCAGTGTCCAACTAGGTCCTACCTTCTCAAGTTTCCAGAACTAAGACCAAGCATTTAACATATGAACATATTCAAATTGTAACCATCCAAAATTTAACTTTAACTGAACATCCCATGTCCTGTCAGCTGTCTTCTCTGATTGCTAACCAAGGACAACACACTGTATCAGAACTGATTGTACTGCTGCTCCTTGCAGGCTCATGTTGACATGTCTAACATTTTAGGATTTTGATTACCAAATAGTCCCCAAGTGGTTTTGTGGACACAGGATATAAAAGAAAAACCAAAACATTCTATAACATGCATTCCTAACCCTGATGTCCTTTTATGTCGTTATATACACATACACTTATTAGTTTGTCTCAGTAGAAAATATTTCTGACTCAAGTTTGTTTCTGCATTAATGGTCCAAATATACAATAGTTATATAGGAAAATAAAGAGCTATAATAAAATGTTGCACTCTGGAAAAAAAAGCAAGAATAAATTCAGAAAAGAAGGGGAATGAGAAAGGGAACTAAAAAGGAGGAAAAAGAAAAGGGAAATAGGAAGAGCGGGGGAATATGAGATAGGATTTGCTTCGTGTGGAATTCCTCAGTTTCAGGCTATGGGAACAAATATTTGGAAAAAAAATTTAAACAAAAGTGGAAGCCCCAAAGAATGATCTTGGTACTGACTGGAACCCCACAGATACACTGATCCCACCAAAAATATAAATGCAGTCACTCACTAAATATAAAAATAGTAGTAATAAAACAATAACAATAGTAAAGTCACATTCTCTTACTGAACTTAGGAGTTCAATCAGGTGTTTCCGAGGGAGGTGCTTTGCAAATCTCTTGTCTTGAATCTAGTGCTTGTTTGCTACCTAGTCCTATGGCTACGGTCCTTAGGGCTTGTTTCCCAGATCCCCCTAAGAAAGCTTTCTAAGGACTTGGGCTTCAATTTCTCTTCTCTCTTTGCCTATGGTCCAGGCATATACTTCCTGCCCCTAAGTATGGATCTGGCATTCAATATACCAGTCAGTCCAATCTGAAGCCTCAGGTTCACCAAGGGTCAGAGAGGCAAGGAAGCCGTTAGTTCACATAGTTCTTTACTTGGCCACCAGGTGGCAATGTCAGTCCAATTTACACCTAAGAAGTGACGTGGGGGGATGTTGAGCTGGTGGATAAAGCTTCCAAGGAGGAGGTAGGATTACTTGGGACAAGAAGTTATATTTTATTTGAGTGACTGAAGAAAAAAAAAGTTAGCATACTCAGAATTAACAAATTGTTAATTATCTACTTTTGAAGGATGGCAATTCAAGTTTCTCTGTTGTCTTTCTGCTTTCCCTACGGACCAAGGAACTATATACTTCAAGCTCAATTAAAAAGGCAGCTCCACTCGCCCTTCCATCTCCTCCGCTGTTCTCTGCTCCTGGTTTGGGCCCTGCGCCATTCCTGGTCTTGGGTCCCCAGACACCTGGGGAACTGGTGCTGCTTCCTGATCCTTTTCACCCAGGCCAGCTTGGTGCCTTCCTTGGGCTCCAGGAGCACTGCTTCGGGACCTGGCCCCACCCTCACCTCTCCCTGCTTCCCTGTACCTGCACCACCAGCTAACTCTCCTGGCCTGCTCTCCTGCCCTCAGGCCTCTCTTGGGGCCAGCTTGGTACCTTCCTTGGGCTCCAGAAGCACTGCTTCGGGACCTGGCCCCACCCTCACCTCTCCGTGCTTCCCTGGACCTGCACCACCGGCTAACTCTCCTGGCCTGCTCTCCTGCCCTCAGGCCTCTCTTGCGGTAAATCTATCCCACAGCCCTCCAAGCCTTGACTCCCCCAGCCGCATTCACCCTTCCATCTCCCCTGCTGTCCTCTACTCCTAGTTTGGGCCCTGCGTCATTCCTAGTCTTGGGTACCCTGACACCTGGGGAACCAATACTGCTTCCTGATCTTTTTCACCCAGACCAACTTAGTGCCTTCCTTGGGCCCCAGGAGCACTGCTCCTTGATCTGGCCCCGCCCTCACCTCCCTCTACTTCCCTGGTCCTGCAACACCCACCAGCCTCTTTCTGGAACTGACAGCCTCTTTCTGGGGCTCCGAGGCTTACCTTTCCTCACCCTGATCCTTTGCATCCAGTACAACCCAGCTACTCAATCCACTACCTGGGAAATCTTGGGGCTTCTTCCCACCCCATCTGCCTTTGCATCCCTGCTGGCATGGCCACAACC